ATGTCTGTGTGTGTGTATGTCTGTCTGTGTGTGGGTGTGTGTGTGTGTGTGTGTCTGTCTGTCTGTGTGTGTATGTCTGTCTGTGTGTGTGTGTGTGTGTGTGTCTGTGTGTGGAAGAGAGAAAGAAAAAGAGAACTGACCCAATACATTTAAATTGTCATGATAAAACATTAAAGCTTCCCTACCCTACCCTATTTTCTTTGTTATGTTTAGCAGAATGTACTTGCCACAGCTATACCAGATGCTTATTTTTAGATTCACCAACTGTGTCACTGTGTGTTCGTGCACATTCAATTCCTCTCTAACACAGCCTCACCATTCAATAGTAGAGGGCAGGGTTCCCACTTTTTTTAAGAAACAATTTTCTTGGACCTTTCCAAGACATTTTCCAGGAGGTTTTATTGACAATACAGGGCAGCACTTCCTCATGACATTGTCATATAATTTACAAGTAGGTCTCATATTGACTTCTTCTATAATGATGCAGGTTCATGAAGTGTCTCAGGTTCATTACAGGTCGGCTGTGACATTTATGGGACAGTCCGTGTTAGCTTGCTTTTGTGGTGTCTGTTCTCACCCCCGGCAAACTGAGCAGTTCACTACAGTTTTCCTCTAACTGAAACATTAATTTGGCCCACAAGTAGCAGTTCAAATCAAGTAGAATTTAAAGCCATAGAAAGTATCCTCACTGGAAACCTCACCTATTGGCATCTTGGGATGTGCACGGATCAGGAAAGGAAGACCCTGAAATGAGTAATTAAAACCGCCCGGAAGATCAGTGGTACTTATCTACTTAGCATCAGTAATATTGGTAAGGTGAGGTGCTTTCACAGAGCCCAAAGGATACTAAAAGACAGTATCCACCCCAGCACCAACATCCTGTTCTCCCTGCTGCCATTTGGAAAGAGGTACAGAAGCTTCTGCAACCACCAGACTTAAAGACTGCTTTTTCCCTCAGGCTGTGAGAATGCTTAATTCATCCTTAGCATTTCACCATGCAAATAGTATTTTAATTTCACTGTATCCTTGTCTGAGTTCCTTTAAAACCTAGCCTGGCGGTCCACCAGTCTATGATATATAACATACAACATGACCACAAATTCCCCACTCAATTCCAGGCAGGGACACATATTCATATTGATATTTCATCCTGCTCTCTCCTTCTGTGTGTTTTTTTTTTTTAAATCTATCTATTGCTGATAATTTAACTAAGGGGAAATGCATACATTAAATAAAACATAAAGGATCATTAGCAATGTTCCAGAAATGTACAAACGCAGCTTATCCTCATCAGCTGTCATCAGATGTGTTGCTGAATCGTGAAATATGCTATGTTACTTGCTTTGTGTGAGTCTTCTCTGGAGTTTGTCACATACACTATAGGAGTCACCCACATTCAGTGTATTTAAGCTAAGTTAACCGGCTGCTGGCTATAGCTGTATATTTAGCAAATCGAGTATTTTTTCAATATGTCAAATCTTTACTTTAAAGCATTCCTTATAGCCGTTCTTCCCGTTAATCTCTTATCATGCAATCTTCCCCGACAACTGAAAACTTGCCCATAATACAGGCTGCTATACCTTTATGTGTCAAAGATATGTTGTTGCTTCATTTAAACAGCAAATTCCATACAAAGCCATCTCAAATCTCCTCCCTTCTTCCTACACCCTTATAAGGACAGTTGATCCGTCTGCCAACAGTGCACAATGCCAAAAGTCTCACCCTGGTCGAACCTTTTCCTTCACACTCCCTGGTTTTTTCCTCTTTCAACTCTTCCGGCAGGACGTGCATCAGCATATATTGTTTCATTAAAAAGGCGGGGAGATATTAAAGCCTTAATTTATTGGTCCCGTTCTGATAAAAGCTTTAGGCATCAAATATCTTTTCGGGAAAGCCACAATGATGCAACAGCATTTGGCTACAAAGAGCAGCACTCCAATCATATTACAATGCTGCCTCATCTGCACAGATACAGATAAGCATGCACACACATACACACACTTACCCCCGGGGCGTTCATGGTTGCGATCGGTGTGCAGCAACATTGCGATGGGCATTCCAACATTTTTGGAGCGGCCAGCAACCAGCACATTCTTTCCCACTGTTTCAATACCTGCAGAAACACATTTTTTACAAGAAAATATTGAAAGAAAAACCCTGAAAATTATCATAAATGTCACACAGAGCCCGGGGCAGCTTTCACCTTTGACTAATTACACAGGCATGTGCTGGGAGGTTATTCAGACAGTTGCACCACAGCCTGGCACCACAAGGTCGCGCCTGGGATAATTATTACATCTATTGTCAGCCAACACAAAAGTTAGTAAAGTGTTTGAAAGTGGAAGGACAAGTATGTATATATTAGAGCGATCTGTCAGTTTGCTTATAAATAGTCATATATTTAATACAAAAATGATTTGTTTTAAATATATGAATGTTGTCCATTCGTGTTGTCAATTGGTAAGTCAGTACGTCTTTAAAATGTGATCATCTATGTGGATTTTACTCATTTATTTACTTATTAAGTCCGTTATTTGTGTTTTGCATGAATTCTTTGTGTGACAACGGTATTATATCTCAGCTTCCCCAATCAACATGCTCACTCAATTTAAATTTAGAAATCCAAGTAACCTTGAAGAAAAAAATGCTGGTATTCTTTGGAAACATCCTCCAAGCAACTGTAGGTATATTACAAGCCTTTATTTAGTGGAGTTTAAAGCATGAAGCAACATATTAATGTTTAAAAACCCTTTTTTATTTAACCATTAATATACAGTATGTAGTGTGTCCATGAGAGACAGAACAACCTCCCCCCTCCCATCCTCAACACATTCTTTAAAGAGACGACAGAAAGCCCCCGAGCCACTTCAACACACTGATAGCTGACAGATAGCTGGTAACAACCATCAGGGTCTCTTGCTCAAAAACGCCTACAACATTGTCAAGGAGCCTTCCAATGCTTTCAAAGACTCTTTATTCCTGCTAGTGCTGGGCGGTATGAGCAACCTTTCCAACCTATCATAATATGTTAATGTGTTTCAGCCTCTGTAAACGCAGGATCCCGAGCAGATCTGCCAGCACGAGTACATCTGGTACCTACACCGGTACATCGCTCAGCAATAATGCCTGCTTTTTTAAAGGGGGTACAAAGCCATCTAAACTCTTACTCACAGACTATAGGCGGCTGCATATATGAAAAAAAAACACCTAACCCTAAAAAAATTCTAACAAAAGGTTTCTCAGCTGTTTTTTGTAGTATTAGGTGTCCTTAATAACATACTAAA